AAGCCTGGAGAAAAAATGGCAGAATTGCAATCAGGAGCAAAATACAGCCTCTTCTAGGACTTGGAATCCAGACACCTAGAAAACTTAGTAAAGAGAATTTAAAAAGTAGATCTCCAGGAATGGGAAGGAGCTCACAGAAAAAGCTGGACACATGGCACACAACACAAGAGAAAAGAACAAAGTGATCCAGAAAGTTCACCCTAGTTCCCAGGGAGCTGGAAGCCCTGGGGAGAAAACAGACCAGGTCAACAGGTATGGCCACAAGAAAACCTCATAGTCACTGTAAACTGCAAAATCAGCATGAGCTTTTACCCAAAAAGTTAATTCCTTCCACATGGCAGACAAGAGTTGGAGAACAATTCCAGTGCAGCACCCACCATATTTGAGAGGGCTTAGACAGGAGCCATTTTGAGAAGAGACTAATTAAGCCTGAGCCACAGCTGTCCATGGCGGGGCACACCTGTAATCCCAGCACTCAGGAAACTGAAGCACTCAGCAAGAAGATTACTGTGAGTTCAAGGCCAGTGTGGGCCACAAAGCAAGACCCTGACAAAAAACAACAACAACAACAAAACTGAGCCTCAGACCAACTACAGAACAACTTCACTTCAGGGTTTTCAGTGTTACTACAGTGACTGGGTGGGAGATGGCCACAAGAGACTCAGAGAGGGTGCAGGCTAGACATAGATCCACTCTTTAAACTTAGGCTGGGAAGGACATAGGGCCCTGCCCTCTGTGATGAGAAGCCAGGTCCAGCATGCATCATTATCAAAGGCAGTTGGGTAGAGGACTGGCATTAACACATTCACGATAGGGCCATAATTTGTATGACTCACTGCCAGTCAGCTCTGATTTGAATTCCATCATCTTACGTTAAATAGCTAACCACCAGTGGTTCGAGCTGCCAGATGAGAGAGTCACACATGTACTACCAGTGCTTCAAGCCGGCAAAGTCTAGCGGTCAGCTAAACCCCTCCCCACTGCTTACATGCAGCAGAAACCAGTGATCTGTCTGCCTTCCCTGTCTATCAACATGATCAAGGACATGCACTGGCTTGGACAGTTGAAACAGTCTAGGGTGCATGGACAGAAGGGCCTCTGGAGCAGGAAGACCATCTCACAAACACAAGGGTGTGAATCTAGGCTGAGAAAACCATGCTAGCCAAACTCCCAGATGGCAGTCTGGGGGGGAAAAAAAAAAAATCATTCAAAAAATACAGAAAAAAATTTTTTAATCACTTCTCTCTTTTTTTTCCTTTTTTTTTTCCATGTCTGGAGTTTGAGGGTTTTTTCCTATTCTTTATAGTCTTACTTTTATTTAATTTTTTCTTTTTCTAATTTTTTCTTTTTTTGTTTGTTCTTTTCTGCTATTTTTATTTAATTCTATTAATTCACTTTTATTAATAGGAACTTTACCTCACTTTTCTCTCCTCCTCCTCATCTTCCATTGCTTAATTTTTCAAACTTTTACTTCTTTCATTCTCCCGTTCCCAACTCCCTCTATTTTTAGTAGTATACACAGTAAACTTTACTGGGCCGGGGATTTAGCTCAGTGGTTCCGCCACCTGCCTTGCAAGTACAAGGACCCAAGTTTGATCCCCGGTACCAAAAAAAAAAAAAAAAAAGAATCACAATAAACTTTATTAATCTTTAGATAGTTAACCCTATTCCATTACTGAGTTTCTTTCTATTGTTAATGGAGGTACAGTTGTTGTATCTAATAGACACTTACCATACGTCCATACTTGGTTTGTGTGTTTATGCTATGATTATAGATCTCTTTTCTGTGGTTAAGAGAGATACATTATTGATTCTTCTGATATATCAATATCCAACTTGTGTTTGACACTACTATTACTGCTAATTTTGTTGCTACTGCCAGGGTGGAATAGTTATTGCTATTTATTTTCTCTGTATGCCAATATCTGGGTTAACTTTGTCTCATTAATAATACTATGGTCCATTCATGCAAAACTGAGTGCTGGGCCAATTACACTGCATCCTTCCCTCACAAATTAAGGGAGGCAGTTGGATCTTGGTACAGAGTCAAAGGCCTAGGCCTACAGTGAGCCACCCTCAGAGTGCAGCACTGAAAAGCAGACACTTACTAAAAAGGTCTCCATATTAGCAACAAAGTCTTCCACTATAATCAACCTGGAAATCTCAGTGCTCTCTCTCACACACACACACTAATAATAATAGTAACATGACAAGGCAACAAAACTTCTCCAAAAACTCCAAACTCTACCAGAACTGATCCATGGGAAATTGATGGAGAAGAAATAAATAAACCACACCATGGAATTATATGAAATCATAAAAGAGTAGAGAAAAAAATGAATAAGGTGCTCAAAGATATAATCAGACAATGGACAAAACTAGAAGCAAGTTTACAGGAGATACTAACAGAAAGCTAGCTGAGGTAAACAGCATGACACAAAACATGAATGACCAGTTAAAAAAGAATTAAGAGTCCGAACAGAAAAAGTCCCAAACAGAAATCAAAGCGATTACAAATTCTAATGAAAGAATGAGCAGCAGAAGCGACCAATGTGAGAACCGAATATCAGAATTAGAACACAGGGATGTTCTCCAAGACCAATTAATTACTCAGAGGTAGCTTAAAAACAAGAGAATATGAAAAATTGCTAGGTGATGCAAAGGCTAAGATTAAATGGAATTTAGTGAAAAATCCGAAGATGGCAGAAATAGCATAGAAACAAGGTTTACAGAATAGCAGAAAACTTTTCAAATATGGGGGAAGAATTTAACATATAGATATATGGAGGCATATAGACCATCAAATAGCCACGATCAGAAAAGAACTTCTCCACAACACATCACAGCCAAAATCCCAGAAGTCCAACACAAGGTAAGAATCTTAAAAGCTGTTAGAAAAAAGCAACAAATCACTTATAATGGCAAACCCATAAGAACCACAACAGACTTCTCATCACAAACCTTAAAGGCCAGGAGAGCCTGAAATGAAATGTTCCAAGCCTTAGAAGAAAACAACTTCCAAAGAAGATTGATTGATCCCGGGCTGGGGATTTAGCTCAGTGGTGCCGTGCCTGCCTTACAAGAGTAAGGTCCTGAGTTTGATCTCTGGTATCAAAACAAACACACAAAAGACTGATTGATCCTGCAAAACTATCTTTCAAAAGTGATAGAGGAAATAAAGTTTTCCCATGACAAAGAACAACTTAAAAAATACACGACATAAAATGTTCTATGTTCCAGTAGAAATAAAGCCAGCAATCCCCACTAAGCCCAATGTAGGGAGACCTAAATGGGTATAACAGACCCTCTAGCACTGCTAAGACTTTGTTTGCCCAGCTGTGAGGCCCTAACTCTTGTTTCACATTTCAGGGCAGGGACCACAGTGGGGCTTAAGACAGCAGTGGACTGGAAGACACCTTTCGCACTTCACACTGATTCTTCTCCATTTCTGAATGGTGGCTCTGAGGTTCTACCACCTCGTCCTACCACATCTTCCTTCCTGCTCTGCTGTTGTTTTTCCTCTTTTTTTTATTTATTTGTTTTATTTTTGGTGTTTTGAGACAGATCTCACTCTGCAGCTCAGGCTGGTTTTGAACTCACTATGTGGCCCAAGCTGGCCTCGAGCTTGAAGCAATCCTGCCTCAGCCCCTCTGAGAGCTGGGCTTCCAGGCATGCACCACTGCATTCAGCCCCTGCTGTTTTCATAGTGGTTTCCTGGCTCCTTGCCCAACTTACCTTCCTACCACCACCCTCAAGTTTCTCTTTTTCCTTTATTCACGTCACTCATGTTGGGGAAATGGGAGGCTGCAGGACGAGCAGGGAGATGGTGCAGGCAGAAATACACTCAGCCCTCCATAGGTGAAGGCTCTGCATCGATGGACTCAACTAACCAGGGATTGAAGATAACAGGGGAAAAAATTCTTTTGTACTAAACTTGTAGACATTTTCTTGTCCTTATTCCCTGAACAGTACAGTGTAACAACTATTTATATGGCATTTACATGGCATTATGTATCACATTATCTAGAGATGAAAGTAAAAAGGAGATGGACAGATTATATGCAAATACTACATTTTATAAAAGGAACTTCCTATCCAAGGATTTTGATATTTGAGAGGCTCCTCAAACCAATTCCCCACAGATACGTGATACCAAGCAATGGCTGCAATTAACCACATTCAAGTTTTGGACCAATGATGACAAATCTTTGGAAAGGAAAAAGTAAAAGAGAGGGGAAAAAAGAGCCAGGTATGGTGGCACATGCCTCTAATCCCAGCTGTTTGGTGGGAGTCTGAGGCAAGAAGGTCCCAAGTTTAAGGCCAGCCTGAGAACTTAGTGAGAATGATTCAAAATAAAAAATAAATAAATAAATGCTGGGGATGTAAGTCACTACAAAGGCCTGAGTTCAATCCTTGGCATCACAAAAAGAAAAGCAGCAGCCAATCCTATATAGCCTATCAATAACTTTCTCATGTTTATCTGCTGATCATGCATTAGTGCCACAGGGATAGGACCTCAAAGGTACTGAAAACAAAAAGCCCTCAAACGTCAGTGTCCAGTGTGTCATTATGATCAGGATCAGATCCTAAAACACAGTGGGGGGGGGGGAACCAAACAAAAAAGGAAAATAAAAAAATAAGGAGCAGATGGGCCAGGGATTTAACTCAGTGGTTCTGGCGCCTGCCTCGCAAGCACAAGGTTCCAAGTTCGATCCCCGGTACCCAAAAAAAAAAAACCCTAAAAAATAAGGAGCAGTTTTCTAGATAAGGATGGCAGTTTTACATGAAGGCATAATACCTGAAAGAAACCACTCAGCTAAGTGACCAAGCTTGGCCTCTTCCTTGCAGGCTCACAGTTCTCCTCGTTCACTAGCTTTGCTGGCTGGAGGCCAGCAGCTCTCCCGCAAATGTCACCCCACCCAGCACACCCTTCCGTGGCTGCAGGAACGAATGCAGGAACCAGTGAATGAATGGGATGTAGACTCTGCTCGATCCCTTACCTCTTCTGGTTCATGGAGGCCACCTGCAGCCACTCATTGGTGCTGGGGTTGTAGGAGTGCGCAGCAGCGATCTCCTGGCTGCTGATCCTGTATCCGCCCACGATGAAGAGGTAATTGTCCAGGACGGCGGCCCCGTAGCCCCTGACGTTCACCAGGTCGGGGGGAAGGTTGCTGGCCAGGGGGAACCAGCGCTCCGTCGTCTCGTTGTATCTGAGCATGGACGGGGGCTCCCCTTGGTAGGGATGCGGCGCCAGCGGCCCCCCCAGGAAATCCCCCAGGGCCACTAGGACCGGTGTACCCGTCATGCGGGCCTCCCTCAGCCTCTGCTGCAGGCCGGGGTCCCCCGACGCCAGGAGGGGGAAGTGGGGCTGGTGCAGCACCTGGTGGAAGTGGGCGCCCATGAAGCGCAGACAGGCCTCCTGCAGGTCGGGCAGCCCGTGCACCTGCGCCAGGCGGTGCAGCTCCAGGCAGTTGCCGAGCCGCACCTGGTACAGCAGCAGCCGCAGCAGCGCCGTGACTTGCAGGAAGGAGGCGGCCTCCACCAGCCCAGACAACACGCCCGCCTCGTCCGCATCCTCCTCGCCCGGCACCGCACCCAGCAGCCCGTCCTCACGCGCACCGCCAGCGTCGATGAAGTCCAGCACCAGGCGCAAGCCGGGCGCGCTCAGGCCGCGTAGCTGCTGCACCTCGGGGCCGCCGGCCTCCGCGCCCCGCGCCTCGCGCATGCCGGAGCGGTACAGCGCGCGGAAGTAGTCGCTCTGCTCCAGCAGCTTCCTCTTGCTCACCGGGTAGCAGCGTCCCTCCAGGCGGATCTGTACCACCTCCTCTGCCTCCATGACCGAGCAAACGCGAGGGGGCGGGGAGCGGAAATCCCCGCTAGCCCTAAGCGGTAGACCAAGGCGCCGTGAAGCGACTCTTCCGGCTCCCTCCGCCGGACCGGGCGCAGCCGCACTTCCGGCCGCGACGCCGCCTCACTTCCGCTCCGGCCTGCAGACGCGCTGTGGCGAGGGAGACGAGTTAACGTGCTTTTTCCTTCCATGTGGCTTCACAAAAGTAAAGGATAAAGAAACCAGCATAGGGGGCCGGGGATTTAGCTCAGTGGTTTAGCCACCTGCTGCGCAAGAACAAGGACCCGAGTTCGATCCCCAGTACTAAAAAGAAAAAGAAACCAGCATAGGAGGAAACAGTTGTAGGGAAACTCTGGTCCAAGGAGGCAAAGGAACCGCAGACTGCAGGGTCTGCGAGCTCAGCGCGCAGGCGCCTAGCGCTCCAGGCGGGCGGGACGAGGCGCAGAGTCCCTGACTTCTCTGTGCTTTAAAAGGAAATCAGGGGATCTACTCAACTCGATAAAGTTAGAGCATGGGTTTTCAGATTTGAAACCACGTTTTCTAGTAGACATCGTTCCCTGTTTCAGCCGTCCAGTAATGCCATCTCTGGGGAGAGGTCTGGCCCTTTTGCTTACAGTCCCAGGGGTGGCACCTTCCTCCAGCCCCTGGCTCTGATCCACGCCCGGCGTCTAAAGAGTCCAAGGACCCACTGATTTCTTCCCATCTTTGCCTCCCTGAAAGCCAGAATTAGAAGACTTTTCTGCAGCAAATAAAAGTGGGAAGGACCTTGTGTTTCTCGTAAAATGTGAATTTACCCTGGAAGGGGGTGAAGAATATTTTTTATTACCTCTGAGTGTTATTAAATATAAATCACAGGAGGCCATTATTTGGATTCATGCCCTAGGCCCCAACATACTAGGCAAAAAGTCACAGTGGAGTCACTCGAGGTAAAGCTCCATGTCACCAAGCTGAAACTGAAGTGCTTATCTGACCTAAAAATCAGGATTAGAATAACAGCCAAATTTCCTGAACTGTTCAGTTTCTTCTTGTTTTGTTTGTTTTGGGTTTTTGAGACAGAGTCTTACTGTGGAGTTCAGTCTGGCCTTGAAAACTCAATCCTCCTGCTCAGCCTCCTGAGTGTTGAGATTACAGGTGTGGGGTACCACATCTATCTCCTTTCTGCTTTGTTGCAGCCCTCCTGTCTCTAAAATCACCTTCCATCCCTGATTATGGGAACACTTGCTCTATTTTATGGAATAAACTGTTGCCTCATTCTAGAATAGAAAATCAAACCAATTAAGCTATGTCATCTGTGTGTGTGTGTGTGTGTGTGTGTGTGTGTGTGTGTGTGTACATGTGGGACTGGAGACTGAACCCAGGACCTTCACACTGACCTGCATCCCTAGTTATTTTTTTATTTTTTTATTTTGAGACAGGGTCTTCCTCAGTGGCTAAATTGCCCAGTCTAGGCTTGGTCTTCCTGCCAGAACTCCCAGAGCTCTGGAATTATTGGTGTGTGCCACCATACCTGGTTCCAGGCAGGTTCATGACATAGTTGCAGAAAAACATTTCAGGACACATCAGTGATAAAGCATAGGCTGATTTATTAGGCAGAGTTTAAAAGTAGCAGCAGGGTTATGGTGAAACAGGCCTGTAATCCCAGCATTCTGTGGGGCTGAGGCAAGTTCAAGTCCCATCTAGGCAATTTAGCAAAAACTTGTCTTAAAAAAAACAGTGACTGGGATTGGGGTTGTAGTTCAGTGGAAAGGCCCTGGGTTGGGTTCAATCATCTGTACCACACAGAGAGAGAGGGAGAGAGAGAGAGAGAGCGCTTCAAATTGAGCTGAAAGGGGCACAGCTTTGAAGATCAGCCTGGCCCATTAACAAAGGAAGGGGCCTGGTTTATCATTATCTCAGTTCTAGTTTTGCAAGGTGACTCCAGAGAAGTCTTTATCTCTCTTTTTTTTTCTATTAAATTCTTTTATTGGTACATTGTAGGTATACAACACAATTACATTTCTCATTGGGAATTGTACCTTTGTGGGACTGCAAAACCTTGTAATCTTAGAATTCTTGTAGCCTCGACTGCAATTAAATGTGAAGTAATGATTAAGAAGCTTGTTAGTTCTGGGAAGCTAGATAAAATTTGTAACAGACATAGAGTTTTAAAGGTAAGTTACTCAACTCCTTGTTTGCCCGGAGAACAGACGTTCCCGGACCCACTAACTGTAGGACAATCCATCAATGTGTCTCTCGACCATCAGTACGTGACAGTCGTGACCATTAGTTTGTGTGTGTGTCTGCCGACCATCAGTACGTGACAGTCGACCACTAACCCTTGTTTCTTTTCTCATACATCTACATGTTAATCTCCCCCTCAACCCCCTATTAAAACAGCCCCGGATTCTGAGCCAGTTGCCTCTCTAAGCTACTTTGCTTTGGGAGTGCCGTCTGGCCAGACTAATAAAGGTCTGTTTTACTTTCCAAATTGTCCGGTGTGCTCCCTCCCGGGTGTTCTTCGCTACAGTCAGCTTCTCCTCGGAGCGTTTGGTAAGGCCCATGGTCTTACATTTTGGAGGCACCGCTGGGATCCCTGGGTGTACTTCACTGAAGTGAGCTCCTCGGAGTGTTTGATAAGGCCGACAGTCTTACACCTTTGGATAATGCATCTTGGTTCTTATTTTTTCCCCATTCCTAGCCCTCCCTTCACACCCTCCAATCTTCCCTATTTACAAAGACTTTATTTCCACTTTTTCCATTTCTCATCATTTTTCCTTTCCCTTCTTTCCTTTGGAGTGCCCCTCCCACTACCCCTAAACCTTTGGACCTTTTCTTCCTATTTTGCCTTATCGATTATTAATTCTAATCATTGGTACATTTTAGGTATACAATATAGTGACATTCATCTTTGGAAATTTGCACCATTACATAGTCTCTCTTGGTTATTTTTCACCCTTGCCCAGCCCTCCCTTCAACCCCTCTATTCCTCCCTATTTACAAAGATTTTGTTCCTATTTTTCCATTTTCTCATATTAAGCCCATTCCCTTCTATCCTTTCCT